TTAAGTAAATTTTTTCTTTTTTGAAAAAAAAATAATTAATTTTTATTTTTGTAATTATCCAACCGCAACCGCAAACGCTCGACGGAAACAACTTTTGGATTTGAAAAGTTTGGAACGACATGGAGCAGTATAAAGCGTTTCCCATGATTGTTTTCAAACACTAACAACCGCTACTGTCCGCAAACGCAGCGGATGAACCAATCAACCCCATATTAGATAGGCATTAGAGAATCGAAGAATCTGACTTCGTTAATTCACATATCCAGTATTACAAACAAAATGGATTAAAACAAAAAAACACTTAATAATTGCGTAACGTAAACTACTACATGACCATAGTCCATAGATTGCAAACCCGTCCATATGGATCAACATCTATCTTTTTCTAAGACACTATCATCAATGATCTTTGATCAAAGATGCAGAAGACTATCCAATTGCCAACAACTTAAACTAGATGTCACATTCAAGAAACCCGGTTTTCGCGTAAAAGAAACTGTACGTCCGGATTAAACGAGAAAAGGAGAAGCGGACAAAGGATGATGAATCAACAGCCTACACACCCGCTAAAATACTCCCTCGGTCGGAATGTTTTCAGGCTTGTCGGAAAATGATCAAACCGCAAAAGCTAAAGCAGAAACAAAAACAACTGCTGCAGGTTTCTAACAACCTAGCCCAGGTTTGTCGAATAAAGGCTAGTGCGAAGTGATCAGACCGCAGAAGCTAAAACGAAAAGTTTTTGAGACGTTTCCGACACGGGAGACGGCAGTGGATAGACGTCCCCGTGCTACATAGACGAAAACCATTGGAAAAGCTTGGTGTTGCGATTCTAATGCTAAAATCCTAGAGTGACAACCTAGTATGTGAGAACTGGAAAATGCCAGCGCAGAGTGATACAAGACGCGCAAAAGCTAAAATGAAAACACAAAACATTCAGAAAAGCTTGGTGTCGCGGGTTTTTCTAATGCTCAAAACCATGTACTGATAACCTAGTATGCTACAAGAACTATCAGATGATTAGAGTTCACGGGATATTATCCAGAAAAAGAATGAATCAGAAAGTGGTAATAGAGCTAAAGACAAGTAGCAAAGAATGTGATGATGAAGTAATTACCAAGTGCGAGAAAGTCTTTTACTTGTAAACCAATGGATTTCAAATAATCAGATTGCAAGATCAAAGCTTCTAAGAAGCAAAAACACTTCCCTTCATCAAGGAGAAGAGATCTAAAGACTACTGTTCTAGAAGATCACTAGGCTACTATAGGCTATAAGCTATGGCTGTTCACCGTAGAAATTTCTAGAGAAACACCGAGAACTATGATGTGATGAGTATACATCGGCATCACATATAAAGAAACTAAGACATGGGATTTGCAGAGTCAGAAAACTAACACATAACTGATAGGACTGCTTTGGACCAAGCACAAAGCAGAACCGAATCCATTTGAGGAGACTAGGCAAAGCTTGATATAAGAACGATTTGTTTTATTGCACAGAGATAAGCATTAATTCAGCGAACAGCTCGCAAGGAAAGGGAGAAAGAATGGTCCTGAAAGACTACAAGATGTCTAGCACGAGAAACCAAAAGTTACCTAACGGAGATGGAGATACCGAAAAGTTTGATGAGATATGCAACCATATTCAAACATGAGCTTGATGGAAGGAGGAGGAAAGCAACAGAAACCCGATCAAAGAAATCCACAGGAGCTAGAGAGATGGAACACACTTCGATGGAAAAGGATTTCAGGGCAGAGCAAACTATTCAAGTGGACATGATAAAAGCTTGGAACAAGTTCTCTGCGGTACGCTTCTGTTCAGGTGTTCCGGAAATGAGAGCAATGCGACCGCCATGGGAAGTTGTGGAATCAGAAATTTCTATCATAGCTCCTGATATCTGAGAGAGAGGGCACAGATCATGTGAAAATGTTATATCGGAAAGAGAGAAGGACGGGAAGAATGAAGCTATGGTGATAAGAAAGCAATGAGAGAAGAAAACCAAAAGATTCATGAAACAAACCCTTCTTATGTTCTCCAAGTTGCCTCCTCCTTTGCCCATTACTTTACCCACTGCATTTGAAGGGATCCGAATCTCCATGGTAGTTGATTGAGGCAATCTGTGAAAGCACAAGATTACGGAAAAAGCGTTGAAATAAATAAAAAGGTGAAACTAACATCTACAATGTATTTGCAAACTTACCCTCCATATATATTGGATGAGTACGAAGAGGTGGATCCATAACCATTATTGCCCGCCTGTTTGTAGAAAAAAAGGGTAAGATTATTAGCTACAATAAATACATGAGTTCGTTAATTCGGTTTGAGAAGAAGGGGTGTTACCGAAAAACTTCCATAACCATAGAGTCCACCTCCCGAAGAAAGCATGCCCATGCTGCTCCCAGTTTCTGGTCTTCTATCAAAATCTACAGAAGCAACTTGCTGAACAGAAGGCATGAAAGATGGAGGAAGTGCACTGCTACCCGGAGAGAAGAAATTATTATTCTCAGATCTTGCAGAAGGTTGATTCATGGAACCAGTCTCTCTATCTCTCAAAACATCATCTCGAAGCCTCAAAACAATCTGAATGAGAGCATCCCTCACATTGCTTACTTCACCCGATATCTAATTGACATAAACAAAAGAATCAAACATTGTTGGACGCCTTGAAGAATTAAATAAAGCAAAGCTGAACGATTCTAAGAAATCATTACCTCCACGAACTCGTCATTGGGATCGGCACATTTAGGCTTATTATTCCCTTTCGAGATGTGAATATCGGCGTTTGTCCTTTTCCTGATTTCGCTTATGATTGAGCCACTTTTCCCTATAATGCATCCTATTACCTTAGAAGGTACAAGGAGTTGCATTTTAACTTTTTCCTCATCTTCACCGTTAATTTTCTCTTGAAGTAGAAGAACAGCTTCAACCGCCATAGACTTCAGATCATCAGGAGACTCTGTAGAACTGACAATAATAACACAGTCATCATCGCGATTTGCCCTCGAGTCATTAACCTCAATACGAGACCCGCTTGCTTGTCTTATTCCCTTAATGGTTGATCCTCCTTTCCCAATAACACGACCGATATTAGAAGAAGAGCACAAAACTTTTACAACCAACTCTTCTGATCTGGAAGACCCACCAAAACCATGATGAACCACGGGAAGCGCAGAAGAAGAAAAAACCGGCATTGGATTTGCGGGATGTTCTCCATAACCCTGAGATAGTGTACCGATAAACGATGGAGCATTGGGACCATGTGAGAAAATAGGATCCTGGTTTGGGTATAGACCCGTTTGTGGATAGATAGAAAGATCTGACGGAATGATAATACTAGCGGGAACTTCTTGGACAGTTGTATCCAGAGGAATCTGTTCTCGAGGGCTGAATTTGTACATGATTGCAGAAACAGCGAAAAGCGCTTTCTTAGCGGAATCAGGCTCCCCGGATATCTAACAGAAAGACAAACAAAGAAACATCGATTAAAACTAACAAAGAACCAGACAAACAGAAGTTTACAGATTAGCGTAAAATTTCAGATCCTAACCAGAACAATGTTGTCAAAATCCATAGCACAAGTATGTGAAGGATCCGAAACATCTTTAGAGACAATCTTAACATTAGCTCCAGTCCTACTTCTAATCTTCTTAATCGTCGAGCCAGCTTTACCAATCACATTAGAACATTGACTAGACGGGACTAAAAGGCGACATTCTCTAATATCATCTCTCTCTATCTTAGTATTCTCAGCAGCACTAGCTATAGAAGTAACAATCACATCATGGAGTTTAAGAAGAGCATCTTGAGCAGAACACAAAGGACTCTGCTCGGTGTAATTCGATTTGCTATTCTCTATATCAACTATATCTTTCTTCTCCTTAACCGAGCAATAAACCGTTATAACTCTTTCGCTACAACCTGGAAAAGGATCTACAACTTTGATTCTAGCTCTTGTTTCTTGCCTAATCAAGTTTATCACTTTCCCACTTTTACCTATAACACTTCCAATGACTCCACTTGGACATAAGATTCTGTAAACAACAATGAGATCGTCTTTGTTATTGAACTTTTCTTCGGTTTCATACGAAACTCGTCTCTTTTGATTCCTATTGTTCTCATTGTTGTTGTAATGACTAGTACGATTATTATGAGTTCTCTTCCCACCACGCTCAACCATTGTTGGATCTTGCAAAATTACAAAACCTGAAACACACACAAAAACGAAAGAATCAAACTTTGCTTGTTTCTGTAAACAATCATTTAGAACAGATAGTAGAACACAAACAATCGAAGAATAAGCCTTAAGAAAAAAACTGAAATTTTGAAATTGGGTAGATAAGAAAAAACAGAAAGTATTGATTTTTAATTCAATTTGAAACCAATGAGACTTGGAAAATCGGAGAAAACTGGAATCAGACATGAAAGACGATTCAAGGGATTGAAGAATTTCGTACTCAAATATATGAAAAGAGACAAGAACCTGAATTAGTTGAATGAACAGTTCGAGAGAGAGAGAAGAACCCTTTTGTCCAAATTGTTTGAGGC